GAAACTTGAAAATAAATTTCTTGGAAATTTATCAAAAGTTTAAAATCCACAATTAGAAATGTAAACTGTTTCGACAGGGGATGCTTACTCCTCCTGGGCACCTGAACCCACCTCTGGAATTTTCGGGGGGTGGGGGGTGGGGGGCTGTTTTATGTCCTATTCACATATTTGTATTGTAGATTTTTTTTTAGATCGATCACTGTTCGTTATCTTCATGGAATTAAATGTCAAAATCTAGAGAAGTATATGTATAGGGAGTGCTTAAATATCAGACTTTTAAAGTGATAAACCTCATCTTTTTTTTTTATTTGGTCAAATTGCGAAGCAAAGTCGGTCGATGATTTGTTGATGCTTTCCAGTTGGTACTTCAAAACCTTTTCAATTAGGATTAATATATTGTATTTGTATGTTTTATTGATTTCATCTTCAAAACTTTACCCAAAGTAAACTAAGAATGCGATGTTTTCAATATTTCTCTTAGAGTTGCTATTGACTTTTTTAATTGGTTGTAAGAATTGCGTTATAGCTCTTCAATTTAATGACATGCATGTCTGCCGATATGTAGACTTATTTAGATCAATTTAGCGAGTTTTCCTTAAATAATTAAATTTATAACAATAGAATAATAGCCAAAAACTGCCAATAAGACAGTAAAGAAGCTTTACATTAATCTTGCAATAATATTATAACTAAATAAATAAGAACTTTCACTTTCATATTTCACAGGTATATTTCTCGGGACAAGACCTTACTCCTCCATGGCACCTGATCCCACCTCTGATGTTTTGGAGGTCCGTGTTTGCTCTGCTCCTATTTTGTATTGTTTAATGGACTTTGGAGCTTGAATACTGTTCGTTCTCTCTATATATTTTATTTGGGTACCAACATATTTGATTTGCATTTGAGAAAGTTTAACCTTCGCTATAAGTTGCCATACGGGGGCATCAGTGTTTCTTTTTTTTTCTTTTTTTTCAATTGATGAATATTCTCCAGTCCCTTCGAGCTTCACAGGATTTGATCACGTGACCAACCAAGTTCATTTCCCAGAGAGTTTTTTAACCTCGTTAAGGTCAAGATCTAGTAAATGAGTTTAGACTGTCTTGTTGGTGCTAGATCCATTATGATGTCTTAATTGATTTAAGCTTAATTTTGTCCGTACTTTACCGGAGAAACCGGAGTGGCATACCTTTCTCTCTTATATTGTATAGTTGCGAAAATTTTGTCGGGAACGATTATTTTGGTCACCCCCTAATTTTTCCCAAGGTAAACATGATAAATATGTGTTATAAATATAATTTGTGGGAAAAAAAGTCCAAAAAGTCTCGAGTTTGAATATCGGGGAGGGGGGACCTGTCTACAAGTACCTGTGATTCCGGCATTAAAAAATGGACCGAAAAGTTAGAGAAAGGTCCCCCCAAAGCTACATACACGAAGTAGAATTTTCGAGTTTGGGCAGTTTAGGGGGTGGGTGGGTTGTGCTATGGACCTAAATCCATAAAGAGTTATCTGATAGAATACACGCTGTAGCATGACAATCAAATAGAAATATGATCCCCCAGCCCTCAAAGCTAAAGAGAATAAAAAAAAAAGGTGGAACTCATAAAACAAATTTTGGTCAACATAGTTCATCTTTCAGTTTGTTTTGTTTTATACTTCTTAGGATTTTTTACAGTGGTGTATTATATCGTACTCAGGTGACCGTTAAGGTCCTTGGGCCTCTTGTATTTTTGCTATAATTCTAGTGGCAAATAGATATCTGACCACCTTTGGATTTATTTCAATTTTCAATGAGGCTATAAAGCAGCGACTTATGCGTTCCTTAGAACACTCTAGTTTTAAATGAATAAGCCAACATAGGAAACTTTGATCAATTTTTGCCATATACAGATAGTGCTTAAAGTACTTGACAAAATATATCACTGTCAGTAGTTTTTTTTCCCTTCGTTACGTAGTAAGTTTAGGATTTTGATATGCAACGACACACTCAGTCTTTGTTATCAATGACCTGAGATAAAACAGACCCTATCAGTGGCGGATCCAGGATTCTTGAAAAGGGTGGCCCAACCAGTTTGGGTTCTGGATGGAAAACCGGGGGCGAAGCCCCCCCCCCCCCCCCCCCCCCCCGGGAAGCTCTCAGGTTTTAAGAGTTTTTGGAACATTTTTTAACTTACTTTAGCTATATTTTATTTATAATTAATGCAATATCCCACACCATGTTGTTAACTTATTATGTATATTTTAGTCAGAAAGGGGGAGGGGGGTGCCCCCTCTCTAAATTCGCCAGTGCTTATTGCTTGCATCAGTATTTAAAATGAATTCTACCTAACATCAAGTTGTAGCAATGCCTGTTCAATTGAGAGTATTCTTTAGCTTCGTAAAGCTATCTCCTATTTGAAATTTTTGCCTTTGGCTGTTAGAACATGCGAAGGCTTTGAAGTAGCTGCATAAAAAAACTAATTAATCTCAGAGACTTATAGTAAGTGAGAGTAAGTAAGTGGCTAGTGTTAATAACAAGGGTTACAACGTGGCTATTGACTGAATCAAAAGACAGCCCCTTAAATACGGGTGGCTGAAGCAAACATACTTAATAAAGATAAAGATTTCTCATTGCTTACTTTATTACAACTCTAGAGTAATGTTCAGCATATTTCTATATTCATTGTCAATTTTGTAAGACTGAGCAAACCAATTGAATCCAATAACAAATTTATAAAGAAACCGCTCGGATCTCGCGCGATTCATAACGACAGTTTCAATCTTAAGTTTCAATACATGATTTCAGGCCCGTAGGAAGCAATTTCAGTTGGGGGGGGGGGGGGGGCACAGCCATACGTTTTGAAGTTGACAGTTGAGGGGGCACTACCAAAAATTTCGTTCCCTCCCCCCTCCCCCGGTTCCTACGGCCATGGATTTAAAAATCACATGGAGAAAAGATAGTATTTGATAATAATACTAGTAATCATTAACATTGTACCAATACTAATATTTCATATTACGTTAAATTTCCCCCCTATCTATTAAGGTTAATCAATAATTTATCGAAGTAATTAAATTCATTACTCCCTTTAAGATGTGGCTATTCCCACAGGTACTTGTGGACAGGACCCCCCCCCCCCCCCCCCAAAAAAAAATATACCCCAAGGGTCAAAAAATATTTTTATGTATTTTTTCATAAATTATTCTTCTAGTACACATTCACAATGTATTCCATAAGAAAAATCCAAAAAATAACGCAGGATTAACGTTTTACTAAAAAATCATACCCGCGGTTTAAAAAAATAGATGAATTTTTAGTAAAACGTTAATTCTGCGTTTTCTTATTATCCGTGTTTTTGTCTTGTCTTAATTTGCTGCAGGCAATGCATGAATTATAATGCTAGTAGTAGATTTATTTGCATCTTTATTAATGATGCTATAAAGCAGGCTATACAATCCTTTCTTGGAACACTTTTCTAGTTAATTGAGCAGATGACTTAGGACAATTCAAACCATCATCTTGTATCAAAATATATTTTGCAGTCAGTCCATGTCATCTGTTGGTTTCTGTGATATCCTTTATAATTACTCAATGTCAATGTACCAACTTTATTGAAAACATGGAGAACTGATCTACTGCTTCAGTGTTTATTCAGTATTGTAAATCATTAAAGTGTTAAATGCAATCAAACATAAATGACATTGATGACAAGTAGGCATGATTAAGGTACAACATCAAAACCTGTACTCAGATAACTCAGTAAAATGAAACAAAACAAATTCATATCATCCCATAAGCAAATGAAATGAACAAATTCATTATAAGTACAATGCGTTTTCTTTCAATGTACAACATAATCATTAACATTTCCACAATAGTATACTTCCAATAAACATTTTATGTTTCGGTAATGTTTCGATTCTTTATTTTGTATGTGATTTTTCTCCATGAATTTAACACAAGTGATGTCATTACATCTTGGCACATGAAACTAAACAAAATGGATTTCTCTAAATAACAAATAACACTAGCACTCTATAACTTCTTACACACAATTGTCAGCAGACTTTCTCCAGAGTGTCAGAGTAAATGTTAAGTGTTTTTCTTCCATTAAAAGACATGCTGATCAGTATACAGCAGTATGTTCTGTTTCATCAAAGATTTATTAAATTTCTCCTGAAGAAAAAAAGCTTTGAGGGTTTTAAACTATGTACATGCTTCAGTTCCTAATGAATTGCAAATCTGTAAAAATATTACACAAACCAAATTCTTGCTATTAGTCTTAGTATACTTCCACACCAAAAAACATAGTCTCAGAGGGTTATTAAAAGCATCTGTCAGGGCATAAGTATGTACTAAAGTGTGCAAAAAGGTCAAGGTCTAAGCCTCAATTTGAGATCAGTCAGGGTATCCAGGATACAGGTAACGCCAGGGAGTGGCCAAAAATATCCGACTTCTAACCATACACCTTGCTGAAAAGGATAAAAATCAGAGCTAATGGTCAAACAAAACCACAAAAAAGGTTTTTAAAAAAAAAAATCTCAAGAAACAAAAATGAAAAAAAAAAAGAAAAAAAGTTTTACTTCTATTTGAGTGAAATGACTCAAAACAATGAAAATCCTTTGAAGAATTGTTGGAGCCATATTTGTCAGATCTATAAAGCTACTTTATAATAGTGAAACACCACAGTGCAATATACCAGGTAAGCTGGATAGAAAACTAACAAAGAAATAGAATCAATATGCCTGATTTTGGGTCTTCATACTCCTTATATCATTCAGAAAATGCAAAAAATGACTTCAGTCATTTTTTTCTTCTTTTATACACGTATGTTCCATTATCAAGCACTTTAAGATTACTTGGTTGCCCTGCTCCATAATGACTAAATTCATTTCTTCTTCCACTTTACCATTTTTGCTCTCATCGTTTTTTTTTTTTTTAAATTTTTGTAGAAAATGATTTTTTGAGTGATAATTTCTGTAGCTTTGTTTTTTTTTGTTTTTTTTTTTTTTTTTTTTACATATATATATGACTTGCAACTATGAGTGAATCTACTGGCATGCTCTATTAATTCACTTATGCACATGCATACTACGAAACAAAATCCCATGCACAGTCAAATATATACCTCTAAGAACAATGTTGATCAGTGACAAAAGTCCCACAATCAAAAAAAATTGCAGGAGGAAAACTGTAAAAACATAGACACTGCAATGAAATGGTTTGATTTTTTAGTTGTTGCAGCAAATTAAAACAATGCATAGAAAAAGAAAACTGGGATAAACACATTGAAACTCAATGTCTTATTCCATCAAAGTACACAGATAACTGGGGATGGTATTCAGATTCTCAGAAACTTCTTAAACAAACATAGTAATTCTTTATGCAATAAAAATACCTTATAGGTCTCTCATGTACACAAATTCTACATGAACAAAAACAGGAATAAAGCCCACGTTCATTAAGGAATGAACTATTTAAATGTAAATACATGAAATGAACTTTAAAACATGTAAATATATGTAATGAACTATACAAATAAAAATGTACATAATCATAATAAACATATACAGAGGTCTAGCCAGCCTGATGTTGGTCTATTATGTGAAAGACATGCTGTTTTGAACTCATTTATAAACCTTACAACATCACATCGTACATAAAAAATCAGTTATGTTAATATTTTAACACAAGTATCACAGATATTTCATAATAACAATTATTGGGCTTATGTTCAGTCTGCAAGTTCAGACAATGAACAGACTACAGAATCACTCCCAATTCTTTGCTGTTGGTGGTTTTATGAATTTTAGCCAATCCTCTTAATGCTACAAAAATATATATTTTCTCCATCAAATGTTGAGCAGATACATACTTTAAATCATTAAAAATATGACAAACATGAACAAAAAATTTGTCTTGTAGCTTTGTACACAAAACAATATTTTAATTCTAACCTTCTATCTATCTAAGAAAAATTTTTAGGAAAAAAATCATAACTGGTTGCCTTTTAACATTCACAAAAAAGTCACATATTTTCTTTGTTGCTCTTTGAAAGCAATTAAATAAAATACCTACATGCTTACAGTCTCCAGCTTACAGTGGCCTTTGCTAACACACAGCTATCTTGTAATAAAGTGATTCAAGTTGCATTCACTATAGTATCTCACTCATTGCATCTGGATTTATTACCAATAGCTGGGAGTTTTTGTTTAAATCTTTTTAAAAATCGTAAAATCTGCAGTCAATTGTGACTTCATATGATAATCCTATTATACATGTAAATCCTGAAATAAATTTATTCAACAAGTTGTGATGCAACTTAAAGTTCCCTTGATTACAATTTTCTATTTGAGTTGTCTTTTTATAAGTACATGTATCTTTCTTATGTTGTTAAAAAGTTAACAACCAAGGTTAAAGTTATGGATATACAAACAAATAGACCAATAAATATAATTTGCCCTGATCTCTTTTTTCTTATTTCTCAGGGGCATACAAAAGATAGTATTAATACTCATTTAGTACAGTTTGTGAATAAAAAAAAAAAACATGACAAAACCATTGACCACTTGATAGTATGATTGATCCTTTAGACTAGTTTCGTTTGACTAGCACTAATTTATTTTTCTTTATCTCTGGATGAAGTGACCCAATCCCTCATGATTACATAGCTTGTGTATAATTGGAATGTGCTGCCATTTCTTCTTCCCATCTCCTGATGATAAATGCTATCTCACAATTTTCAATGAAAACATACCCTAGAAAAAATAAGATGTTTTGTGTTTTACACCAAGTCAATTAAGAAGGTGATATATCAAATACAAATTCCTAGAATGAATAAAAATGAATGTTATTTTTGGTTCCTGAACAAACTTAGATATTATTGATCAGTTATACTGGTATATCTATTGCAATGATAGATACATAACTATTTTGTTAAAGAATTTGATATATCTTTTCGAACTGAACTCATTCACCATTGAGAGCCTTAAGCTTTCCACAAGTAATTTATAAAGTTGATACATACATAATTAACAATAATGACATGCCTGCTACACTTGGATCCACTCCTTATAGATCCTCCTGAAGTAAGGGGCTGTAGTATACACCTTTATCGTTCTCGTTTTTCCTGGACCACCAGCTGGATTTCTTTGCGGCCATGTAAACAATGACCGATACAACAAGGACAATAAGAACCCCGATCAGGCCGACTAAGACCACCACCAGCGTTCCCGTCGAGTACAGACTCTGCAAGGATTTCAGCGGCAGTATGCATATGCCTAAAAGCATAAACATTTACTTATCTTCTTCATGTCCCACTAATCAGGCAATTTTAATCTACTGTTTGAACCAATTCCAAAGTTAGACGAAAAAATCATTCTGGACAAATAGCTCAATACAAGTATATTATAAGCGATGTGTTAGTCTATATTAATAACATCTACAAACCCAAACCATTCCAAAATGTTACAGAATACTGAAAACTCTATAATTTTTTTCAGTTAGCATAAATGAAGTGAAAGACTTGCAATGATTGCGGTGATGTTACTGGTAAAATGTAAGCTATTTAACATTCCCTAACATGAATACAGAAAATACAGTCATTGTTGACTTAAGGAGAGACGTACCATTTTTATCGCATTTACAACATGAGCCCTCCTTTTCGTTGTCTTTACAGCATGAAACACAGGTCTGTAGATATGAATGATAAGCCAGGGGAGCCTCACATGACAAACACTCATGTGATCCAGGACCATAACATGTCTTGCATCGGTAATGACAGTTTCGACACTCCTACAAAATCAGGATTCAGTGTCAATATAACAACATTAGGTACACGTAACTAACTATAACTGACTTTTTACATTGGATTTAGAATGACAACCATGTTTATAAAGTTATAGTCATATCAAGTCATAGTATTGCACTCTGAAGCAGAACCTACCATGTTAACAATGTCATAGTATCGCACTCTGAAGCAGGACTTACTGTACCATAATAATAAAGTCATAGTCATATCAAGTCAAAGTATTGCACTCTGAAGCAGAACCTACCATGTTTATCAAGTCATAGTATTGCACTCTGAAGCAGAATCTATCATGTTAAATCAAGTCATAGTATTGCATTCTGAAGCAGAACCTACTATGTTAACCAAGTCAGAGTATTGCTCTTTGAAGCAGGACTTACCGTATATACTCGCCTATAAGTCGGTCCGCCTATAAGTCGGTTGTATTTTTTAAGCTTCAATTAGAGGGAATGACCGGCTTAAATACCATTCTTTTTTATAACTCGCATATAAGTCGGATAAAGAGTTTTGGACCAAAGTTTTACTCCCAAAAAACCGACTTATAGGCGAGTATATACGGTACTGTACCATAATTATAAAGTCATAGTCATATCAAGTCAAAGTATTGCACTCTGAAGCAGAACCTACCATGTTTATCAAGTCATAGTATTGCACTCTGAAGCAGAACCTACCATGTATCAAGTCATAGTATTGCACTCTGAAGCAGAACCTACCATGTTAATCAAATCATAGTACTGCTCTCTGAAGCAGGACTTACCATGTTAATAAAGTCATAGTATTGCTCTCTGAAGCAGGACTTTTGCTGATGACAGGTGCCTTCTCGTTTCACAAAGTCTCCTATGCAGTTGTTACAATTACCTAAAACATGCATGTAAAATTAAATTTCAAAAATGCCAAAAATAATCTTTAAAAGAATGGAAAACTCTTCAAACTTGTTTCTGTAAATAGCATAGCAAGAGGGCTATGGGGCAAACTTTACCGTGTTGACAAGAATGACATTCAGTGTGGGCTGTAGACTGGTCCATTTTAACAACATAAGGGAGATATCCATTAGGACAGTCAGGAAGGCATTTGCCTTGGTGAAAATAGCTGTAACAAATCAGAGTTGTATTTACTATGAATGTTTTCTTTCATATCTGTTTTATAACAAATTCTTTTATTATATGTACTTTACTTAATATCTATACCCCACTCCCCCCCAGGCCAAAATTTTCAAAATTCAATGCGGCAGGCAGCTAGGTTTTTTTTTTTTTTTTGTCAGCCAATAAAATAATGACATCAATTGATTCTGACCTTTTTTGTACTCTTATATCACTCAATTTTCTTTTTTTAACTTGGTAAAATAGAAAATTATTTCCCTTTCCAAAATCAGTAAAATTGATCAATGTGGCAGTGCTTGACCTAATGCCGTGGTGCCTGAAAAACTACAGATTAAATTTTTTGGTACCATCATATTGAGCTACCCACCTTCCTGGGTCACACAGAACACAGCGGTCCTCGGCCTGACATTGTAGACAGCCAGCTCCACATTTTACACACTGATTTCTAAATTTGTAGTAACCTATCAAATACAGTAAAACCTGTTTGTAACCAACTTGCTTATAAGAAAATCTTGGTTGTATAAAATTTCAGGTCTATAGAAGACCAAGTAAAAGTTTCTAAATATTTATATGTAATGTTCCAGTAAAAACTGTATGATAATGGACAATAACAAACTTGAGAAAACTTCTCATGTACAAGAAAAACAATTAGTAGAAGTTACATCACCTTACCCTAGATATTAATGCTGAGCATGTCAGTAATAAAACTGTACAGCATTAAGTGGGGGAGGCTTATTTTAGTGAATGTGCCATGTGATAAAAACAGGAATTTACCTTTTGAACAGATATTTTCTGGCAGGTAACATTTGTCAGATAACAAGGTCAAAGTTCGAGGACAACTTGTACATTTGTCCCTGTTTTCTGAGCAGCTCTCACACATATTGTTACACTTCTGACACACTCGGTGATCAGGGCTCTCTGTGTCAAAAAAGCAAGTTTATGTCAAATTACTTTTATTTTATAATTAACAGTGTCAATTTATAACCTTTAAAGCATTTTTCAGAATCCTTCAAATGTTGCCAGATACTGGTTCTTCTTAAGAGAGAGAGAGAGAGAGAGAGAGCTCACCCTGGAAATATCCTTCGGGACATTCCACTGAACACTTGCCCTCCTCAGGTAACAGGAAGTAACCATCCTGACAGGCGTTACAGCGTGGACGGTAGCCATACTTAGACGTACAGTTCAGACACTTGGGATCACAGGACAGGCACATCTTCTGGTTCTCAGTGTAGCCATGAGGACATTCCTTAACACATGCACTGCAAAAGTTTGGATCAGTTTTTAATAACGTTCTACACAATGATGATGTAGCTCACAGATACAAATTTTGGATGAATATGTATCATTAAAAAAATAATTTTATTCAAGCACCTATCCTAAAAGAATAAGATTTCTGCATGGATAGCAAAGGAGAAGACAGTGCTATGATGCAAAATGAAGACTTCTATAGAATTTACAGTACAGCCAAACCTTGTTATCTCAAACTCAATAGGACCAAGGAAAGTTTTGAGATAGAGGATTTGAGATATTGAGGTTAAAATACATAAAGAACAAGAAGTCTTTGAGTCAATGCTCACTAGTAATACCCCCGTGAATATACATTCTGATGTGAACATTCACAAGTTCAGTCATGAACAGACACAGGGATAAACAGGAAGTTGACATCCGATTCTTACAAAAATGAATCTCACCATATGGGATGCCTAAACAAAGGTTGTCTAAAATATCAAGCATCTGCAATGAGAAGTTGCTGAGAAAACTGTGACAAAAAATTTGCTGCAGACACACACACAGACAGAAACACAAGGGTAAAACAGTATAGTTCCCTCTCCTTCAGAGTGGGGGTATAATAATTAGTTGGGACTTCCAACACACTTCAACATATCCACTGTATTTGAGATATCATTCTTCAAGACACCAAAGTTCAACTGTACTTACTAATGATGCAACTATACATAAATGTTTACAGGATTCTAAGAGGTACTTACCCTGCCTCTCCCATACGTAAATGTTTACAGGAGTACTTACCCTGCCTCTTTCATACATAAATGTTTACAGGAGTACTTACCCTGTCTCTCCCATACGTAAATGTTTACAGGAGTACTTACCCTGCCTCTCCCATACGTAAATGTTTACAGGAGTACTTACCCTGCCTCTTTCATATATAAATGTTTACAGGAGAACTTACCCTGCCTCTCCCATACGTAAATGTTTACAGGCTCTACAATCCTCAGGACGACTTCCAGTACAGGTGTCTACACACTCGTCATCACACTTCTGATAAACATTACAGGAAATTCATGTTAATCCTCAGAAATTTAATGTGTTATTTGTTTGAATCATAGCATTGACATAAATCTTTCTCAGTTATTGAACATTAATTGTTGGTCTACTTACTGGGGGGAGTGTGGTGCCTGTGATTTCTGGTTGGGTGACCACTTCCCCTTGTCCAGGATTCTTTAGTCGAATTGGATTATCCTTTGTTCCATGAAGAATAAGAGACCATGATACAAGCTGACCTGCAAATTTCAGAGAGGAATACAGTGCACTCCAGTTTTTGCAAATTGTGTCTAACCCTACATTGTCAAGTTTATACAAAACTTCCTTACATGTGATATTTTTACAGCTTTTAGCAAAGCTTGTTTTCATATCTTAATGTAACACAGACCACAAGAAACTTAAACATCATCCAGTAGCAACTACATAATTACATGTGTATGAATGTACTATTGAGCACCAATGAAAACATTTCCTAACCTTTGACCCCAGGAGGAGGTCTGGGCCAGCTGGTTGAGGGATGGTCATCAGTGATCTCCAGCTTCCACGGCCCTGTGGGGTTCTCCTCCCAGAAATGGACCGATAAGAATGCCCACTGATTGAACCCTCCCTTGTTCATATCTGATGGTCGTTTAGGGAGAAGTGTGGATCTCGTACCACTGGGAGATGTTAAATGGATGACCAGGTTACCACGGCGGTAATAGGTCAAGGTTATCTTTGCCTGAACATGTTCCAGATAGTTAACCTCATTGGCAGTGCCTCGACAACCATCTGTACTGACTTGACTGGTGTATGGGGATCCCATCAAGTTCCTAAAGAGTATCAGTAAAAGAAACAATTTACATAAATCAATAATGAATTAAAAATGATCATAATAATCTAAAGCTATGAATACTATAAAAATGCCCATTTTTTATGTGGAACAAAATGATTAAATGATTTGAGAATTATGTTATGTAATGAAAAAATAATACTTTCCACAAAATTTTACTAAATAAGTAATTGTAATTGCAATGCAATTAAGCAAGATCTGCATTTAAGTCCTACAAGATATAATGTACTTGCTATCATTTTTTGTAATTCTATGCATTAGTTTTCAACTACAATAATGCTTAAACACTGCATAAAAAAATGTTTGAATTCTATTACCATGTAGCTAATGAAATGTTTGAATTCTGTCTAAACCTTGATGCCCCTGCACACACTTACACATGATTTGCACTGCTGAGTACTGTACAGATGTGTTTTGGAGGAAGATTAATCCATCTCAGTCCATAATCCACCATTGCTGTAGCATTCATCAGACCATAACCATATCTCAAACTTACTGTAATCATAAATCAAACGGGTGAACACCTTCATTCAAAAGCCTAGTAAGACACATTTAAAATGACACTTGACACAGACTTTTAATGTATTAAATAATAAATACATGTATAATTTCAATATTTCCAATACAATTTCTTAAGTGGTTAACTTAATTTAATTTTCTGACAAAAACAAATATCAGGAGTTAAAAAACAGGTAATCTGTTGACTTTACCTTTTCTGTTTTTGCCATTTGTTATCCAGTTACCATCCTCCATAGGGTCAGGGTTGGAGGTCAGCAAGGTGATATACTGTACATCCCGCCAGGTCAAGGTCGGACTGATAAATATTATTTATTTTTAATGTCAATATTTATTTTTGGATATAGAAATTTCATCAAGGAAAAATCTGCACTGAATTTTGAGGACTAATACCTTCTTTGCTATTTGTAACTAGGTGACTTACTTTGCCTCCAATAGGAGGGCGACCAGGCCGGCGGCTAGAGGAGCAGAGGCAGAGGTACCTGTGTGACTGCTGGTACACTGGTTGTGTAGGTCTGTCGATATCTGTAACAATGTTATACATGTAGTGCAGAACAAACTTCAATGTAACATCATGTAAAATTTATCAGCCAAATAGACCTCTACCTTATCTTACACTCAAATAAATACAGTTAAATCTCATTATCTCGAACTACATGGGACTGAGAAAAAAAACTTTGAGACATCCCAGGATTTGAGATATCAAGGGTAAAATACTGGAGGAATATGTGGTTACTTCGACATATCCATGGTATTTGAGATATCAGTGTTCAAGATACCAGAAGTTCTAGTGTATACCATTTAAACAAAGTAAAAAGGGGTTCCAAAGAAGGATTTTAAGAGAATTAATAGTCTCATACCTCTCCATCTCTTAAAAGTTTTGTGCCCTCCACTTGTTTGGGCCTTTTGCTCTTTGACTTTTAAGAAATGGAGACACACTCAGACATTATGCCTTAACACACTAGTCTTGTTTCCATTTATTTATAAGCAAAATATCACACAACTGTACTGTATCAACACAACAGCACTGACAAACTCTCATCAGTCTGAACATATCAGAATCTTTAGAAGTCCACAAATGATCAACAGGAAAGTAGAAGACTAATGGAGGTCATGTTATAGTAATTGATGGAACAGGACATTTAATCTGACATCAATTATTTATTACATGTAACTCTAGATCAGGAGTAGGAAAAATCCTGTCATTTATAACTAATCAATAATTCTCACTGAAGGGATTGGACAAATTACGTGACAAAGAGCTCAATGTTTTTACACCTTAGGTAGCATATACTGATGCTGTCATTCATACAGTCTACAATCCAAAAATTATTAACGATTTTACACCTTATACTATCGCTTTCATTCATACTGTTTACAATCCAAAAATTATCAATTTTAAACTAAAATCTGATAAACTCACGTCAAAACACCTATAAGGTCATTCTTATATATATAGATTCAAATTTATTTTAGAAATTTATGTAAATCATTCATTGAAAAGAAGCAGCTAAAATGTTTTTACACTGAACATTAAACAAGAGAGCACTCAATGAATCCTCAGACAGAGGTCTACATTTATATAAGTTGCAGGTTCTTTTCATTCTGCAGTATATATACTGATTCTTCTTCATAATAAATACAATTTTATACAAGAGGCCCACGGGCCACATCGCTCACCTGAGTAACTTTGGCCATGCTGTTCTTTACCAGATTTGACGTGATACGGCTCTTCGGATCAAGTTACTGTTATAATAATATATATATATACCAATATTTTTTCTGATTCTCATTGCTAAATTGCTGTTTGTAAGAGTTTTCTATGTACACGCTGTGCTTTTTGCTGATTCAGCATTTTTTAAAAAATTAAATCATTTTTCATTTTATGTACACAAGATAATGCTAGTAATGTATGTGTCATTAAATTTTGAGAACCCTATGGATCACTTAAATTAACTTACAATTTGTTTTTCATTGTAAGCCCCGCTACTATAGGTTGTAGCCAGGGTGGAGGAGCACTCCTCGAGGTACCAGGGTTTACGGCCATGTTCTGAGGTGCTGCTGATGGACAGGGTGTAAATACTATTGGTGTAACCATCACAATTACAGCTGTCAAATGCACTCCCTCCATTACCAGATGCCCACACAAAAATATTCCCCTTACCACCTCGACCCTACAGGAGATTGATAAAAAAATTAAAATAATGGTAATCATCCCAATAAAAAAAAAATTTTAATAAATGATAACAACACTTAATAAATAAAATATTTTTCCTCTCAAAATTTGTCAAGTAAATTTTTAAACATTGAAAATATTTTACCAATTTTACAATTATTTTTTTTATTATATTATATAAGAGTTGGATTGGCTTACTTTATCAAAATAGCATCAAAAAGAGAAGGTTAACCTGTTCTATTCCTGTGATGAAGGCTTTCTTTGCCAGGGGACCAGGGCCATCCACAACTCGTCCATCATCATCTGGCCCCCAAGAGGCAGAGTAAATGTCAATATGTGTCCTGTTAAAGCTTAGTGAAGCTGCCTCTACAGCATCTGACACATCACCATCCAACATACGCACACCTGTGTCAAGTAATTAAAACTACCATAACAACTTACATACAAGTCAGGTAATACCTATATAATATTCAGGAATTTACAGACAGGTGCAAAAAAGTTGATAATATCGTAGGATAAGAGACAAGGCAATGTGGTGTTTGTTTAAAACCCTGAAGCTTTCAGGTGCTGATTCTTAAACAAGAGGACCATGGGCCTTGAAGGTCAACCGAGTACTGTTAATCACTTTTATTCACGAGAACTTTATTTTCATTTAATTACGCGAGTCTGTCTGCTCGTGAAAATTTAATTCTCACGTACATTTGTATTAAAAAGGATTACATGTATATACAACAGAAACCACAGTTTGCGAAAATTTTGTGTTGCTAATGAATACCAAATAGCTAATACTTGCGAAAATAAGGTGTCACCAAATATTGTGATCTACAGTAATCAGTTTTATGAGTTTTTCAGACTGAGTAATCAGGCTATAGTCACTATTGCCCCACCTGGAATTGGAACTCTGGACTTAAATGACAATTTCCTTGATAGATGTCCATGAGAGTAATAAACTTTTCAAAGACATAATGATTTTTCGATATATGGCCAACTTAACTACCTGAGTACTTATTGTAATAATGTAAACTTTTTGCTTGATGGATGTCTAGGAGTAAAAAAAATACATGTATAGTGTATTTTCCATAAAGGCACGACCAACTAAACCGAACCTTTGGGCCTGAACCATGGACCCAATTCATGAAATTCTTAGTTTCAGTGGAATTTTTATTATTCATTTTAATAATGCAAACAGATGTTTTAAATGAGAGATCAGAAGAAGAGACTTTTTTTGTATATACATGTACATTTTCAAAATAAGAGCACTTGACACCACCCTAAAATCTAATTTTTTTTTTTATTTTGGAGTTTTTGATCATCACCTCTGTTTGGACTATGCCAGACTCATGAGTGTTGATAATGAATTTTTTCATTAATAATGGATGATATGGCTCAAAAATATCCAAATCTATTGGAATATATGTGCATTTATTGACTGTCAGAAAATTACCTGCAAATGTTACAGAGCATGAAAATATTTAATATTGAAGTACATGTATGCCATAGCAAACACTTAAAAATTTTGGCCAAAGCATGCAGTTTCCAGAGAAAAAGTATTTTTTCAATAGTAAATTGTAAATTAACTGTACAGGATAGAAGTTGAGAATATGATATAGAAAGCAGACATCAGATCTTTCCTCATTATATTGGTTGTCAGAATTTCTGTAGCATGCACTGTAATATCTGCCACCAAAATATCCAAATTACAAAGGTCCACAAAATAACACAGGATAAACAAACAAACAAGAATTGGAGCATATTGCTCCTTCCTTTGCACATTTCTATGTTAGAAAATTCAGATTCCACATTGGATGTCTGACCTTGACCTGACCTTGATCTCCAGCTTACTAATTATTAATGATTATTAGTGTGTACCTCATAAAATGTGTGGTTAGTTCAAAAGTGTGGGCTGTGTTCAACAGATTAATACCAGTTTGCTCTCAAAAGCATAAAAATCAACTATACCTATTGTATTTTCTATATTTTCTAAAAAGTCCCAGAAACAACATGATTAATCTTTCCTGATTGGAACTCTTCTTTTATTTTTCTAGCTTATCCTGGTTGTAAGACTTAATATATAATAATTTTTACAAAGCTCACACCATTTTTTGACAGAAACTAACAGATACTGCCATCATTCTGTCATAAACAGTCATAAGTAATGTAAAAAATCACAAATCCCTGTATATATTATTACAGCTCAATCCTCCATATCACACAGTTGTCTACTAAACAACCTCCCATCAAATCAGGATAGAAAACTAATTTCCCTTTCTCATTCAGAGACATATTGATTCAGAAGCTGAGGAAGAGAGAATTTACGTTACATTACAGTTCACCCCCTGAGTCTCATAAAAAAGTGTGGGGTCATAAAAGACGTATAGAACTTGGGAGAAAAGTACATCAGAATAGTCAAGTTCTATGGAGGAAAACCATTAATTATAAATCAAAGTAAAAATGCACTTTGTTTGCTATCAAGCACATTGTTTATTCATATTTTTTATTATATCCATGTAGGCCATAGCATATATTTATTTGTGGACTATGCAGACCTTTGGTGTACTTAACAGGCCAGTGGGCCTTAGTGGTTACCTAGGTATCATGCAACTTTTTTCTTGATAAACAACTTTTGGTACATTTCTCTAAAAGAATTTAAGTTGGCCTCACATGAGCTATCATAAATTATGTAATATAAGCATATGAAATTAATTAAAAGAAAAAGCATTTTAAAGCTTTCCCTATTAAATTAACAAACTTAAATATACACAAAAAAACCTATAGTCCCCTTCGGTTTCACCGGTAGGGGACTAATAATGATGCATTCATATGGGGTGATTCTAGAGTAAAAATCCACTTTTTCATTATTTTCATAAATTTACAATACATGGCAACAGACAAAAACAGAATGAATGTGTGATAAGATCATCCCAGATAAAAAATAAAACATACCCCCTGACAAATGAATAAAATACTGAAACATCGAACAACATCCCACCTCACCCCCCCCCCCCCCTTCCCGAAAAAGAAAATGTGACTGCATTTCACTCCTTTACTCCTTTTTTCTAATGAATATTCCTTGGAAATGATTGACCAACCAATTCATGACCTCTCAAAGATTTTGTCATAAGCATGAATTTATAATTCTATGTCATTTGTAACTTCACTTAAGGTTAGAAATCTTAAAATTTGTCACTTCCAACTCTCTGTACTTAATGAGTGTTATAATCATTCACTTTGCTTGTTTCCTTTCATAAATCAAAACTACCTTTTCCACCCTTCAATACTTCAAACCAAGGAAACATTACAAAAATGGGTCCTGTTGTCTTAAGCTCCTAATACCAGAAAAAAAATTCTCTAGTAAAGAAATATTGCTTCACAAAGCATTCATAAAATATTTATCAGAATGAGTGAAGTACTGGTAAATCTCATGTAATCAAAAGCTTGTCATATCAGAATTAAAACTTACGGCAATGAGCAACATCCATGAGAAATAATATGGACAATGTTTGTTCTGTAATTACCTCCAATCCTGGAGTTATAGGCTGCTCCTACCACACATTTGTTGTTATTGGCTTTTGCTGCTACCTCTCCTGCACATCGAGTCCCATGTCTATGAAAATTAACAATTTGATTATTTTTACAACTCTTCAACTTATGTGGTCACTGGGCATAGATAATACAATATAAGTTTATTTGAGGGTCGTAGAAGGAAATAAACAAGTTACACTAAATCAGACTCATCTTCCATAGTGTCCAACTGGAGAATTAAGTGCAAACAAGATCAGACCATGTGAAGGGTTACAATCTTTGACAGATGAATAATCACTATTCAGTTCCCCCTTGGAGGGCCCCAATTATTCTTATTTGGTTTTTTTTTCTGAAGAAAGAAATGCTCTGGGATACATACTAAATGCGGGAAAATTCTGTTGATTTGGGGAGTAGATTGAATTTAGGTGTAGACTAAATTTAGGTAATTCAATTCTACCTGTTATCTTTCTTCAGCTGTTTGCATCAATAATTCACATTGATACAACATAATTCCAAGTACTAATTATTAAATTTCCTCACAGAGTCAAACAACACATTTTCATTCATAGTGCAGGTGTAAAATTATAACCATTTTTAGAGGGGCATTAAAATAGAAAGTGACACCTTTTTATACATGAACCAGATATTGATATTATAACATATTTTGACAACCACATGGTGTTTTAGAGTCCAAGTTATACCTTTTTAACAGTATGAAGAATCTTATTTAACTTTTCAAAGGGTTTTATAAATTCTTATAAAATGCATTAAAAAGTTTCACCTGTTTTCATTGGTCGGATCATATCTTGGTATAGGATCAGGATCATGGTTATTCACATCATAACTTGCATATGGGTCCTGGAAGAAAAGAAACTCAATATTGATAAATTCACACCAAGAGTCCAGATATTATCTGAAAATGATTTTTTTTGTCCTCATATCATGGTTCTTGACCTTTGACCTAGGAGAACAATTGGGATCTTCCTCACGAGATTTGATACCCACTTAAGAGTTACCAACTGGATGACTATTTGATCATGACACAAATGTGATATATTATGTGATACATTAATTGTCTTATTTATTCCTTGTTAATCAAATATTATCATTCAATTTTAAGTTAGATATCACTGATATTGTAAGACTTTCCAAGACAAAGAAAAACTTTCTACAGAAGATAGATACAGATATCCTCTGTTATGACTAAAAACTTCTTACAGAGAAGAGATACAGATATCCCCTGGTGTTATTGTAAAACATCCTACAGTGAAGAGTTAACAGATATCCCCTGGTGTTATTGTAAAACATCATACAGTGGAGAGACAACAGATATCCCCTGGTGTTATCACAAAACATCCTACAGCAGAGAGTCCTCAGATATCACTCCAAGTGTTACTTAAATATCACCTTTAAGTTTACATAAATATATTACAAATAATAGATACTGGATATCCCTTGGTGTTACTGTAAAACATCCTACAACAGACAGCAACCAGATATCACCAGGTGTTACTTTAAAACTTCCTCAAGAGATACCAGATATCCACTGGTGTTACCATAAAACATGCTATAGCAGAGATTTGTTCTATCCCAAGGTGTTACTGTAAAAATTCCCTCAGCAAAGACACCATAAACCAACTTTCATTCCCATGCAAGAAATATTTGAGACTCATGTATCATTTGTTTACTCCAGAATACCCACCCATGAAATCTTTATTTAATTGTTTGAACATCTAGAATGTGTCCTATGTCATGAAATTTTTCAGCCACTGATATTTTTCAGCATGATGAATTTCAAATACAAGTTCTCCTGAATTACAGTTAGATACTCCCTGATGTGTTCCTATTAAACTCCCTACGCGAGAGATATCAGTTATTCCCTGAAGTATCTCAATAGACTGATAAATCATTGATACCTCTGCAAAATCTGTCTGAGAAAAACATCAATTTCCTTCTAGGACTTCACACAACACTGACTTTCCTCAACCATACTTTCCTTCAGACATAATGATTGACTTCAAAACCAATCCCTCGACTCTTGTTCAATTTCCAAACTTACAGTATGAATTTTCTACAAGCAGTTCCAACATCTTATAAATCAAATACATGTAACATACACATTACACTTACATAGTTCTCCTTCAAGTCATCATGAGTGCGTTCGATTCCATCATCCAGAATACTGACAACCACACCCTTCCCTGTGTACCCCATCTGCCACGCCCCCTTCACACACATGTCAAAGTTTCCACTGTTACCCCGGTGTCCACCACCATTCTGCAGGAAAATCAAATCTTAATATTATCTTTCCATTATTTCATGTTTATATAATCTCTACATGTATTTCATATTTCTTTTTCAATGCATAAAGTTTTTTTATATCTTGAAGATAAATCATGTAGTGTTTTTGTATCAAAAACCAAAAACAAAACAAAACCAAAAAAAAAAAACAATAACAAAAAAATCACCCAAACTATTCATGAATAAATATGTTAAAGGTGCTTAGACACAGATTTGAACTTAATATTTTCTCAAATTTTCTGTATAATATCACGACTTATATATTGCAATAGCATTTTACATGAAAATATAATTAAAAACTTATTTTATCTGGAAATTATTGGAACTACGAATTCTGGGACACGTTTGATTAACACATCTTTGCACTTACACAAATTTTAACTTTATCCTTATATTTAAGAAGGAAGCGATTTTGTTATGTATTAATGAAAAATATTACATCTACAATCCAGAAAATTCAGAGTAGAAATGTTCGAAATCAAAACCAACTCACCAGTATTGTCAGTTCGTGCTCTGTGATGTGTACAGAGTTTAACAAATGGAACGCACCCGTGAAACATAAACTGTTTTTGTAAACAGGGCATGAGCTCTGTTACTGTTAATGTTTACGATTCACCGGGTGTGTTCAATATATTGTTAAACTCTGCACACACCACTGAGCACGGACTTACAATACTGTGAGTGGGTATTGCTTTCGAACATTTCTACTCTGAATTTTCTGGGTTATAGTTTTAATATTTTTTATTAATACACAACAAAATTGCCACTTTTCTTAAGCATTATGAATAAAATTAAAATATGTGAAAGCGCAAGGATGTGTCAATCCAACGCGTCCAGAATTCGAAGTTTTAATAACTTTGAGATGAAATAAGATTTTTATTATATTTTAGTATGAAATGCTATAGCAAAATATAAGTCATGAAATTATACAGAAAATTTGAGAAAATATTAACTTTAAATCTGTGTCCAAGCACCTTCAAATGTCAATAATATTTCTCACATCTTTAAGTCTGATTTCTTTGTAGTGTATGATTTAATACCAATTAAATTTAATTGAGATTCAAGACTCTTGTCCGTTACAGCACTATTTTAATGAAAATCATTTGTTTCATCATTTTTTTATCTGAGTTTCCTGAATCCAGTATTAAAATGTTAAGCATTCCCTCCCTTTATTTCTTAATAAGTGTAAAATGCTAGGTACCGTAATATCTTGAATTGCCATAAACTGTCCTAAACATTTCTTCTAATATAAGCTCAAAGAATCTGGTATCTTATTGAGAACCATAAGACGTTGCCTATACCACTATAAATCTCACGTAAATGGGTGTAACTTAAGAAGATAAATCAATCTCTATTAGTTTTGACTGTAATATGTTTCTAGAGTCCTTAATCAAGATTCATGTATTCCTATCAAACTTCCAGAAATAAGATTTGGCTAGATAAGGGTTATTCTATCAACTGTTAATTGGCAAGACATGGATCCAGACAGGCCGGCAATAGTCTAAATCAATTCCGTCAGATCTAATTTACATACAGCAATGACCACTCAAGAGAGAGGTTTCTGCATTTATCATCAAAATCTATTACAGTAAATCAATACCACTCATTTAACAAACAGATATAATTACTTCAATCATACATTTTTCAAAAAAATGTTGAATTTATTACATTTACAATTTTGTTAAAAATACTCATGGGGTGTCACAGATCACGTGAAGCAGTTTTGAATTACATTTGCACCCTTAGCATGCTTTTGACGTAACATCGATCATTTTGTTATGTTTTAGTACATGTAGATATTTGAATAGAACTGCTCAGTGAAATGCAGGCATGGTGGTGCATTTTACATTCAGAGTGTTGAACTATAAAACTAAAATACTGGTACTGGTAGTGTGAGAAAAAACCTAGAGGCCTGACTAAATACTGGCCTGGCAGACACCTACGGGATGGGAATATCTCTTTACAGAGAGATAAAACCAGCCATCATCTTGTCAGTCACAAAATCAAGGTCTTGTGTCCATTAAGCTTTACCTCTTAGCACTCAATGACCTCCTCCCCCCTTCTTATTATACTGTAACACATACATGTTTGTTGTTCACAAAAACATACCAGATACCACTGGGACCTCCACAAACGATCATTAAAATTTTTAAAATCATCTCTCTTCTTTCGACTCCTGGCTCTCTGTTGTTCAAACCATCTGATCTGAAAATTATTGAAAATAGTACTAAATATCAACCATAAATAACAATCACATTTTGATAAATGTACATGTTTGATTGTTTGTTGCTTGTGGATGTCACTTTGATGTCAGAAAATGGTTAGGGATTAAAGGTTGAAAAACATTAACTGGTACTTCTTCCTCAATTATTTTTGTGAACTTACATGTGCCAAAAAAATCAATAGCGAATTTATTAATAATGCATGAAAAGTGCCCTTACCATTCTTCCACAGAAATATAATTTGAATCTTTATCCCCCCCTCCTTTTCTCAAAAGAAAAAGAAAAAAAGAAAACAACTCTCAGGTCCTGTGTACTTATTCAGAATCTACAAAAATTCTTCCTAATTCAAGAGATTTCATAAACATGTATTTTCCATGGTGTCCTAAAATTTATATATATAAAATCTATGTACATATTGTAAGTTTTCCTGATATTTGTCTCCCTTCTCATCTTTCTGACCAGTTTATCAGAAAATTTCTTATAGGACTCTATACATTGTATGTGGTAACTACTCTAAATTCTACAGAATTCTTGCTTTGAAATTGCATTTCAACACTCTTCATTTCACTATCACAAATGACATTTATTATAATTCTGTGTGTATTGTTATATATTTATGATAACAGATTTGTGATTATATCATATTGTATGGTCATCATGCAGGTCTTTTAACTATATAATTATGCTATCCTCCAAGGACATCAGTAGTAAAAATAAATATCTGACTTCTACTTGAAACATGCCATAGATTTTTAATGGCTTGTAGAGTGTGTATGTTATGTGTGTAAATGTTTTAATAATGATGGAAAACCTAGAGTAACATGGCTGAAACCTTTATTTCTAACCAATCAAGATTTAAGTTTACTGAGAATAAAAGATTTCAGGTTCTTAATACATCCTCCATAGTTTGTTAAATGGCTGAATGTGAGTTGTGTAACAACCATAAATTGTTAATGATGAAAGCTCTGGTTTGAATGTTTTACTGCAGATAAGAGTGGCCCTACCTCGGGCTCTTTAGATAAAAGCTGATGGTGTTCATGGCTTGGATTTGCAGATCTTTTACTAATGTGAGGATGGTAAAATAAATAATGGTCTTTTAAATCCCCTATCTGAAAAACAAAAAAAAAAACAATATTTATATGTAAGGAAAATAACAAGAAATTTAAACAATATGTTGTTCATTTAAAGTTGACAAAAAGACCGATATTTATACAAAATGAGTTCATGAATATAATTACTGTATATCCCAAAATTTTAGCAAAAAACTGATTTTCATGAGATGGATATTTGGCATTTAAATGCTAGACAACATTTTCATAAAATCTATTGTTGTATATAATATATATACTAGGGCTGTGTCAATATATCAATACTTATCAATATTCAAGAATATATTGTATTGAAAAAATAACTTCCAATATGTATTGTGCAGGCAGTTTTTCTTATATTTCTGTGAAAAAGTTACAAGAATTTCAACCAAAAAAGATAATACTTAACTGTTCTGATAAAACTGGTCAGTAATGATATAGAACATCATAAATAATTTATACAGAAAAACATAGATAAGTATATTTTAAGAACATGTTGGTTTTTACAGATGTTAAAAGTTTGAATTTAATAAGTGTATTTTGTAATGACAGTGAGACAAGAACTTCGAAATAGATTATAAAACACCCAGTTTTTTTACAACATTTTTATCAGAATTTTTTGATAGACTTGTTAAAGAATCCAATATATTGCATATCCCTTTATAAAATATTGTATTGTATCAAAATTTTTTGCTCAATACACTGCCCTAATCTATACTACCGGGTAATAAAAATATATGCGAGAATGAATTTTTCACAAGCAGTCCGCCTCGTGTAATTACATAAAGTTCGCACAAATAAAAGGTGATTTACAGTACCTAAATGTACAAACTAGGGATGTCAAAGAATATTTCAACATTCATTCTATGAGCTGATATTTGAATATGAATTTATGATTCAAATATTAGTTTGTTTTTTTCCCAGAAAACTTAATAGAGAGATATAACTCTAGCTCTAGCTAGTACTTAATTAATCATGTTCAATTTTGATCACCTTTTCTTATATTTTGCATTGGATTTTTCAAAAGAAAAGTCATACCCTTGGAATCAAACATTTTGCAATATTCTTGAAGGAATAGTAATGGATACATGTAAACACATAATGTACATGTTTTCAGATCTTGCTGTACGATACCTTGTAATAAAATCCCATCTTTCAATGTAATAAGATATAGAATCTCCTACGCACATGCATGCACGTACAACAATCTTCATGAAGGGAAAGAAAATCTTGAGTTTTGCGGCATTTCTGATATTCTTTAACACGGTGACAAAATATTACTTTGATATTCTTTCACACTGTGACAGAATATCACTTTTATTCAATAAATAAATAACAGTACTTCACTGATGAAAAAATGTAATATTAGATATTTTATTCTCTTAAAAAACTCTACATAAAATTTTGCTCTGAAATACTCATGCAAAACGTGGACTAGCTAAGGATAGGGTGATGCCTATATGAAATAAAGCAGGATTTATTTATTGTATCAAATATAATATTCAAATACTCCTACTGAATATTTGAATATAAATAATAGACAATTTGGACACCCCTAGTACAAATAATATTTGCACACATCGATATACATTCATAATGTATGCGATATGTCTTTATAACTGGAAGCACCGTACTAAATAGTGTACATTGTTCTGTAAACTGCACACGATGTTTAATATATTCTCTAAAACATACATTTCACCGTAATGAAATCAAATACATTACTATAGTAATTAGCTGCACACTTTTCGCTGTAGGATCACAATCTAAGTTCAGCACTTAAGTACAATTGTCTGCTTCCTGTGCTTGCCCCTTTCAATTTCCTCCCACTTTTTTTTTGTCAGTGTGCATAAATTAGTATCATCTACCCAGTCTTGAGCCATTAATAAGCAAACCATATTTCCTTACAGATTTGTATTCTAGAACATTGTTAAGGTCATCAGAAAGCACTGTCTAAACTAAAATCCTCAAGATAGAGAGATCAGATGCTATATACTTGTACCACAATGATTTACATGTATATTCCTTTAGGAAATGTTTATAATATCATGTTTGCTAGGATAACCTAATATGTATTTTTCACTGAGGAATACTTTAAAAATTGAAATGTATATGTACTGTGCAAATATCCTTGGCTGGGATCATAAAAATATTTAAGATAATTTTGTGCTCGGATTCACACTTAAGTATAAAATAAATTCTTAGTTAAGAGGCCTTGTCTCCAAAATTATGACTGATTAGATGTTGCTGCCCTACAAAAAATTCATGAGATTATTCTTTGAATTGAAAAGTATATGTACTTAAAGTAATACACTGCTTTATAAAAGAGTCTGTCCAACCAATGATTATTGTATGATGTTTATATACATGTATTTACAGAATAACTGTTGCAATATCATATGAACTATGTTTATTAGCAAGTGCATTGACAATATGCCCATAAACCATGTCAATCTAATGTGATTACACAATGGGTGACCTGATATAATACAGTATTACCAATCGCTATAAAAAGGTCAATCACTGAAGAGTCGTTAAGTAATCATTAATGTCCCAATACACAGAAATCACTAGTCTCACACTTAATCGACAACAATAGGGTTTAAACAGAGTTATGAGCCTTGTGGGGAATTATGGGTTAACAGGGAAAGTGTATTTCTTAATTATGAGAGCTGTCTCATCCTTTTTATTGGATGGCCATGTCCTAAATATAGGAAATTAATGAGTCTTTTAAGGATATCCGGACAGTCTTGATTGTTATTAGTAATTATGGTTTCTTTTCTTTGAGTGCTTACACACTAAATGTCAAACTATAACCATGAAGGTACCTCGATCAATACTTCCCTTATCTAAAGTTTATCCAAAACTTCAAGGACACAGAGGCATGTAATTTTACAAGTAGGTTTTAGTTGGATGAAGAATACATAATGTGCCTCTATGATTCAAATGACAAATGTTCACTTTGACACTATTATCGGGAAGAAAAGAACTAATTAAGACAAGGCATAAATCAATTTTCTGTCAATCATTTGTCCATTAATCAATCAGATCAAAAAGACCAACCAGAGGAATTAACACCACTAATATATATTTATAGGGATCTCTATATGACAATCTGTCTACAAGTATTTGTTTAGTCTGTAACTTCCTGAAACTACACAGAAAAAACTGCAAAAACTGCCTCAGTTAGAGGCAATATCACAACATGTAATACTGAAAACTAGAGTATAACTGTATTATTTATGAATTTAAACACTACTGTGTCACTAATTATGACAGAGTTGAATTCAATAATAAAGGAAAAGTATGGTATCAGTCAGGAAAAATACACATATTTCCTACTGATGTATCATTTAGAGATAGAGAGAAAAAAATTCATAAGCAGAAAATTATGATAGATACCAACTAGAGGTACTGTGAGCACCGAGATCACAAAAATGATACCCCCCGCCTCCCAATATGAGTATATTACCGGTAAATGTCAAAGTCCATTTTTAATTTGCCATGGAAAACCTCAAATATTATATCTGTCCGATTGAAATGTGGAATAGGAGGTGCACACTGGCACTCTATGTAATAAAGATTCTGTGAGAGACTCATTAAATTTTATTCAGTGGTATAGGAGGGTTTGCAGATAAGAGATGGGTACCTCCAATGTCATGAAAGAATGGCAGTGTCCATGTTTGGCTATGGGAAACTCCAGATATCTGTCCAATTGAAATCTAAAATACAATATAAGAGGTGCACAATGGAACTATGTATAAATAAAGAATCTGTGAAAGTCTCATTCAATTTTATGCAGTGGTATAAGAGATAGGTACCCCCAAGTGTTACGGACAGATGCCTCATTACTACAAACTCCTCCCTTTTCAAGTGGGGGTATAACAAATTCACAGAATACCACTGTATTCTTTTATAAAGACAAATAGACACACATTCTTTGCTGAGGAAAGTACGGATATTTAGAGACAGATAATAAGTAATACAGAAAATATCTGCATCATTTACAAATTCACCAATGAAAAATATCTTCATCATTTACAAATTCACTGATGAAAAAAAAAATACTGTATCATTTGCAGAGAATAATTTTGAAAAAAAAAAAAAAAACTTTGAGCATCCAAACAAAGAATATATTGGGTTTCTGAAAGTCTCCAGTTATCTGTCCATTGGGCCTGTGTGCAGAAAAGTTTTCAGTGAAAACTTTAATCAATTAAGTGTATCAATCTGAGACAGATAAATTCACTCAGATCTGCACCGAGGCATTACAGCACATGAAATGAGCTGTGACGTTCTGTATTAAGTTTCAAATAAACCATCCTGTACAACCCCTCATTTCTCTTGATAATTTACTTGATCAGATCTCAGAGCCAGCATCTAAATTGCCACAAAAAGTTAAAGTTCTATATTAACCAATTACAGCAGGTTCCATATTTACTAGAGTCTGTGTATTCCAGTTTATAGGAAGACAATTAATAAAGAGAGAAAAGAAATGAAATTCCTTAAAGAATTAGCCAGACATATTAATTCACTGAGATGTGTATAATCCTATAAATAATGTTACTAAAATATATATATGAAATTTACTTGCCTAAAGAATAAGTAAAGAATTAAAAATCTTATTTCAGAAAATAAAAGCTCCTGAATATGGCAATAAGCAGTGACAGGAATGATTTATGAACTGTGATTTGGTAATTTTAAGAAAATTGTGTCTGTCTGAAATGCCATAAATAAGCAATTGGGACTAAGTGTTGGTACTGCGAGAAAAGATTTCTATTTCATATTGAATCTTTGATCTGCTTAAGGGGTGGTAAATTCAAAATTTGCAACATGATAACTAGTTATCATGTTGTAAATTTTGCATTTACCTCCCTAAGAACTAATGTCAGAACTATATTTATGATTTCAAAATGTAGTAAAAAAATATTGTTTTCCTTTTAAGCTAATGTGAAGGGTTTAAACAATCTTATCGATAATATTTGGTTTATCCTTTCAACAGATGACTTTTACAAACTAGCCCAGTGTATATGGTGTGCAGTACCAATTGACAGGGTTGTTCCCTAAGGCCCAGGTAATTTCCCCGCCTATAATGACATTATCCCCCGGTTATTCCCCAGCAACTTCGTCTGAGGGGAAGAACCCCAGAACCCCTTATACTTTTTTAATGTCCCCTGCCATTTCAATTCTAAGAAACAACCCTGAATTCAATTGATTTTTAAGTTTTAATAAATCTTAATATTGGTTTATCCTTTCAAATGATAACTTTTACAAAACTAGCCCTGTGTGTATGGTGTGCATTACCAATTAATAAGCATGGAATACATATCTCTGAAATAAATATTATCTAACATTACAGACTAATTTAACAGATTACTTGGAATAAAAAAAAAATTTGAACATGTTGAAGATAAAAAACCCAGCTGGTACTTAAGGCAACGGAAAAAAAGTATCTGTGTCATCAGATGTATTATTTTTAGCTGCTGGACTTGACGGTAGAATAGGACATGTTATCTGTAGGACTCCCTACCCACACCTTAAAATTAACAGGCTAGATCATATTTAGGATAATCTTAATATAGAACCATTCTAAAGCTAATCATAACACTCCATAGCCTTGTTAGCTGGACTAAAGCTAATCTCTACTCCTACAATTGATTAACGTCATCTTCACAGCCAAACAACTTGACAAAAGTTTTCTTCTTTAGGCTGTTTCTCCCAACAAAGAAAACATCGTTTCAACTACTGTACAATTCATAACCTGTACAGAGTACCTGGATGTTTGGAACTCATTGTACAATACCTACTTATTTACATACATTATGCCTTGTTTGTTCTATGTTCATGTAAGTATGAGAGTAATAGGCACTCAAGAATAAGATGTTCATCTGGAAAAGCACAAGTTGGTATCCTTCCTCCTAAGACAATATGACTACACTTGTTTATTTCTCCTTCAATGATGTTTTAATCTACATGCAAACAAATATTACATTTCCATAATATTGTACTCCTATGTTGATGTATAGTATCTTTACGTCAAAGTTTTTACTGCTTTGAGATATGTACACAAGGGGAGTGTCTGAGGGGTGAGGTAGTTAGGGGCCATTTATCCATTTTGGTACAATGTATTTTTTTCAATCTTCCTCATAAATATTTTTTTTTTACATGGAATTTATCTACTTTTATATTTTGAGGATGAATATCATACATGGGAATCCGATTAAAAGGGTTTATTTCATGTTAAATTTTCCCAAAGTTGATGATTTAACTGAAAACCATATACAGTTGAAAGAACCACGCACGCTAACTCTCGATTCTCACCTACATTTAACATCCATTTAATTGAATACTTATGGCAATTTGGCCAAAAAATCTTTGTTGAATGCAAGGAAGAGTTCAATGATAATTGATTAATAAATTTAACACCAGTGTAAAATAGCTAATTATTGTTAATTCCAATTCTCTTTATAGGGGGGGTAGACAATGTTTTCCATTGAAATCAGGCTTGAAAGCATCAGAATATTTTAAAATATTCTTGAATATGGATAAATGTTCTTTAAATCTTTTCTTATGATTTATGCATATAAAATTAAACATATGTAATTGATTAAATACAACGTTTAAGATGTAAACCCCTTTGAAATTGGTGAAAAAGTGCATTTTTTGGCTGTAAACATGTCCCCCCCCCCCCCCCCCCCGAAACACAAAAAGCTTTGGTATAAATTTGTGAAATAACGATCCATATTACCTGTAAAAAGGATTTTTTGTTTCATGGGGGGGGGGGGGGGAGATGTTTTAAAAATATTTTCTGTTTTCCGTTGATTTCTATAGTGAAAAACACAGGTTTTATCAAAATTACAGAGTTATCTCTCTTTGTTTTCCCAAATAAGTAATGTTTTATGAAAATTCATATAAATATCCATCTAAATACGAAAAATCATTCAAATGTGTTAACTTTTGAAAATTGACTTGGAGGTAGGCGGGAGAACAATACTCTCGTTCGCAGTTCTTTGGTATCTCAAACACAGATATCTCGAATACCATATGTCGAAGTGATTTTGAAGTCCCAACCACTTATTCTTTAAGCATTTTATCCTTGATATCTCGAATCCTCTGATATCTCAAAGTTTTTTCTCAGTCCCATCGAGTTTGAGATAACAAGGTTCAACTGTATTGTATAATTATGTGCACTAGTTATCACAAATCTAAGATACAATATCTACAGTAGTTCTCTAGATGCATGTTTACTACGCATGAGTATTGCTAAAAATTTTGTATTACGATCCAAAAATATCAAGATAATATCATGATATTTTTACACATAATTTTTACAATGATTTTAAATGAATTTCCATGATTTTTGTAACAAATAGAGTGAAAATATAACTTCACTTTTTTTCATTTTTTATATACAGTATCAGGTTCGTTCTCCCTATCTACCTGTTCGCATGAGTCCGTTCGCACAGGGTCCATTCGCCATTATTCTTGTTCGCCCTATATCTCGTTCGCCCTATTATATATACAGTATATAGTAAATATCAACATTTATTATTAATTTTATTCAATATTTTACGACTTGGTGGCTTTTTTTTCAAATGTTGCTACAGTATTTTTTTATTTACCGTAATCTTATTTAAATAATTCAAATTTGATATTTATGCTCTTTACATGCATAATTGATTTAATTATACTTAATAATGTCACTGTAATTTAGGGGATCATACAATTTCCGTTATGTTTTGAAAACAATTAAAGGACTGAGACGTTAATTTCTGTTGGTCTGCCGGGTCTTTGATAGTACAGGTATTTATAAAAAGTGTGACCACATGCATACGTCTGTTGTCTCCCATGTAATTTATGTACCAACGTACATATAATTTATTTGAAAAATCCATTGGTTCATTATTCAACTTTCTGCAATATAAATAAGGCAAACGGACCCTGTGCGAACAAGTTTTAGGGCGATCGAACTCCGGGCGAACGGGAATTAGGGCGAACGGCGTCAAGGGTGAACAAGTTTTAGGGCGAATGAACATACAACCTTTATATACATGTATCAATAAAGCATGTTTAGATGCTAGAATGCTGTTGTTTTACTGTTTGACAACATTTTTTGCAATTCCTGTCATTGTGATTAAAGAGTTTAAACAAAAGAATTAATTATTTCCATAATTTATATGTGCATAATAAACACCAGTATTTTAGTCTCTGTATCACAAAACGTATCACACAAAAAAACATATTAAATAATAAAACATAGGGTAAAAGTCAGCACTAATTTCTTGCCATATATATGTTAGAATCAATAGTACTTTTTGACTTTGCATCCCTCCCCCAAAGTAGAAATCCTTGCTCCTCCTTTGAAATCAGCAAATTTTGCAATCTCTAGTCTAAATTAATGTTCTTCATGAACTATCTCTAAACCTCTAATTAGAAAAACAACACTTTCATATTTTTCATAAGCCAGCATTGACAATAATATTGACGATAGATAAAAGTTTTTTTTTATAATTCTTACCTGTCCCATATTATGAAATCCATGTTTTGAAGCTATTCTATCTGCTATATGACTACCCCCTTCTATGTGGACGGCTATTTGATTCAAATAGTTACATTTTGAATGTTGACACAACAGAATGACAAATAAACAAAATAAACAGAAAATCCGTGTAACGTCCGACAAAACCATTGGAAAGAATAGAACCATGCTTGAAGGGAAAATAAAATATAAAATACAGTTAATTTCTTCGGCCAATATAGAAAAACGACATGTTCCAGAGAAAACGTTCACTTCGGACTGTGTTGCACTCTCCAGCTAAGTGAAACACGTCTCCGAGATCAAATCAGGAAGTAGAGCCAACAGTAGCTCCGCCTAACGGGCGAAGTACGTCATAATTCGATCCCGATCAGAATTTCCCAAAAACTCCTTTTTATTCTCAGAGAGAGAAAGAGAATAGAAGTGAGATACAGTTATTTAGACATTAGTTTTATTAGAGGATCGTTACCGATACATATTGTAATGAATAATTTTTGTTATTTATAAAGCACGTTTTACAACAACTCTTCAACTAACATAACTGCGTTAAGTGAAGAAATATTAATACAAAAAATACAGAGAAATTGAATATATAATATACATATATATGTGTATATATATATATATATATATATATATATATATATATATATATATATATATATATATATATATATATATATATATATATATATATATATATATATATATATATATATATATATATATATATATATATTTTTTTTTTTTTTTTTTTTTTTTTTTTTTTTTTCACCACATGTACTTGTTTCGTATACGAGGCACCCCTACTTTACGAAACAAGTGCCTGTGATATACCCCCTATAACCTAGAGTAGACTGATCAAAGGACAATTTTCACACACACACACACACACACACACACACATAAATTAGAGAAATCGAAATGTTTTTCTATTGTCCTTAACTACCAGTTTTTCTAAGCAGGAAATGAAAGTGGACTGTGATACCAGGCAATGTTGCCACATGCTATCTACACAATATATATAAGAATTGAAGTTAATAGATGAACTTAAAAAAAAAAATTAAAAAACCTAAGTATCAAACCATGCAATTTTTTTTCGTACGCTTGAATATCTATGTACTTTTTAAATTCTAAAATTGATTATATTTATGATCAATTTTCAATAAAAGAATTCTTTATTTATGCCTTTTTTTACATCATAGTTCCCTTTATATTCGATGATATTTTATACTTTTCCCTATTTACATGTACTGAACCAGGGAATAAGAGGAAAGATATGAACGTTGTGTATTAAAGCTGTATTTTTAAGGGAGGCGAATCCTTGCTCCATGTTTTTGATAATTAAAAAAAGGATATATTTATGTCTACATGTACATTGAAAATATACTTCTGAGGAAAAGAAAGGAAGCAAAGATCAACTGACAGGCCTGTATTGGATGCAATACCAGTATTTTTTTTTTTTTTTTGGAGGGGGGGGGGGGTGGGTGGTGGTGGAGGGGTGTTACAACCAAACAATTTCAGTTTGGGTGGGGGCGCTGCCAAGCAAAAATTGGTTGATAATTAAAGTAAAAGTTGCACATAAAGTATTGATGTTTTCTATAGTATACTATATCGGAAAAATCGACTGACGAGGGGGCATCCCAGTATCCCCTCCCCTCCCTGGTTCTTACGGCCATGTCCACTTATATGGTAAAATTGCATGTGTTTTGATAAAAAGAAATGATCATTTTGCCCTCTTTGGTGTGCGCGTGCTATTTCATAGACAGATAATTTTAATAATTGTGAGATGATTGAAGATTAAAGCGATTTTAAAATATGCATAAATGTTCTCTGAAATATCAAAGATTTTTTTTTAAATAATGAAGATTAAATTTTTCACTTTCTTCTTTGTCGAATCACAGGCATTTTGCATTTCGCCCATATCTTCTTTCCTTTATCCCTGTGCTTATTTGCAACAGCGTTGTCATGTAGAAGAAATCAGTCTGGAGACCAGTATTTATACTTTTTTTTTTTAAAGAACACTTGCTTAACTTTCCTTGATACAATTTTGATGTTACTATAGATGGACCTTTCTTCGGGTATAGGTGCAGGTATTACTGGACCTCTCGAGGAAAAAAAAAACTGTATACATGGTATATTAAAACCTGTATGAATTCTGGCTTCTCTTTGCAATAATAGGACGACAGTTTCCTTTCTGAATCCACATTTTATAATTGATCTTCCTATTGGACTCTAGAAAGTGCACATGTTTTGTCATCCATCACTTAAGTTTTTGTGTGTAAAACAGTTTTATAATGTTTATTTTCTAAATAGTTACTCTGCAATTTTAACGCTTTTTTTAGGCACGGTCTTATATATATATATATATATATATATATATATATATATATATATATATATATATATATATATATATATATATATATATATATATATATATATATATGTGTGTGTGTGTGTGTGTGTGTGTGTGTGTGTGTGTGTGTGTGTGAGGGTGTGTGTGTGTGTGTGTACATATATATAAGATATATATATATATATATATATATATATATATATATATATATATATATATATATATATATATATATATATATATATATATATATATATATATATATATATAATACAATTCCATGTATTTATGTTTTTGAGGTCAACACGGTATATATCCTTTTTTTTTTTACCTCATCTGAGCTGAAAGCTCAAGTGAGCTTTTCTGATCACCCATTGTCCGTCGTCCGTCCGTCCGTCCGTCTGTCTGTCCATCCGTCTGTAAACTTTTCACATTTTCAACTTCTTCTCAAGAACCACTGGGCCAGTTTTAACCAAACTTGGTACAAAGTATTCTTGGGTAAAGGGGATTTTAAATTGTTAAAATAAAGGGCCAAGTCTCCTTACAAGGGGAGATAATCAAGAAAAGACAAAAATAGGGCGGGTCATTAAAAAATCTTCTTCTCAAGAATCACTATGCCCAAAAAGCTGAAACTTATGTGGAAGCATCCTAGGATAGTGTAGATTCTAAATTGTTAAAATCATGACCCCTGGGGGTAGGACGGGGCCACAATAGGGAATCCAAGTTTTACATTGAAATATATAGGAAAAATCTTTAAAAATCTTCTTCTCAAGACCCACTGGGCCAGAAAAGCTGAAACTTATGTGGAAGCATCCTTGGGTAGTGTAGATTCTAAATTGTTCAAATCAGGACCCCCGGGGGTAGGGCGGGGCCACAATAGGGAATCCAAGTTTTACATTAAAATATGTAAGAATTTTTTTTAAAATCTTCTCCTCAAGAACCACTGGGCCAGAAAAGCTGAAACTTATGTGGAAGCATCCTCAAGTAGTGTAGATTCTAAATTGTTAAAATCATGACCCCCGGGGTTAGGGCCGGGCCACAATAGGGAATCCAAGTTGTACATTGAAATATGTAAGAAAAATTTTAAAAATCTTCCTCTCAAGAACAACTGAGCCAAAAAAACTGAAACTTATATGGAAGCATCCTCAAGTAGTGTAGATTCTAAATTCTTCAAATCAGGACCCCCGGGGGTAGGGCGGGGCCACAATAGGGAATCCAAGTTATACATTAAAATATGTAAGAATTTTTTTTTTTAAAATCTTCTCCTCAAGAACCACTGGACCAGAAAAGCTGAAACTTATGTGGAAGCATCCTCAAGTAGTGTAGATTCTAAATTGTTTAAAACATGACCCCCGGGGGTAGGGCGGGGCCACAATGGGTATTACAAGGGGGAAATCTGGTGGCCAAAGTTACTCAGGTGAGCGATGTGGCCCATGTGCCTCTTGTTTTACAGAAACATTTCAAAGGCTTCAAAGTACCTTAACCAATATGATTGAATAATATTTGTTGCGCGAAAATAAAAAAAATAATTAAAAAAAACTGATCTTAGTCGTCAGTTCTTATGTAAGACGGTTCTAGACTGCCTTATGGCTACATATCGGGTATGGTGTTCCTAAAATATTTACAGTATATTTGATAACCAGCGAAGGGTCGAGATGTTTTCGTCTGTTAAACAGCTCCCAAAAGGTCTACGACAAACCGTAAGTGTTGCAAAATGCTTTATATCTTACAACATACACAACGATTTACATACACAACGATACTTCAATGTGGTTTATGGGGTAGCACCATGCAATATTTAAGTTGAGAACAGGCTTTGCATCGAGTTACGGTCAGAGGCATCTCGGAACAAGTTACATAAAATAATTTTATTTAGTTAGATTGTCTAAGGAATCTGGTATTTATTTGTTTTTTTTTAATTATACGAGCCACAAGTAAGAACTGGGGTTCTTGAGCAATCTGAATTTACCTTGTGCAAATGATAAATCTGTTAATGGACGTGGACTTTGAACTTTATATATAATTCTTATTATATAACTCATCTGAGACGGACACTAATCAACATCAATAGTTTAATTAATGTTATATAACTGTGTCCGAATATATAATTAAAACTAACTATGTGTGGGGACATTCCCTTACTACAGTTAGGGCTTCATATCCCTTGCATTCAGGCCCAGTAAAAGTACCCTTCCCTTTCAACTCCCCTCCCCCCCCCCCCCAACTTCTATGCCCTATATTAATCAGAGATGCATGGAGGATGCTTTTAGTATGTTTCATTGTACCAGTCAAGGTTTCAGATGCTGCAATATTCAGCTGAAGAATGACCAGGTTAATGTTTTTGGAGCAGGTTAAAGTTCTTAGAGCGGGTTAAAGTTTTTAGAGCAGGTCTCATTTCCAAGTATCTATAAGCCCTATATTGACCAATCTTGCATGGATGATACATCTAAGAATGCATTCTACAACGCTTGCTTCGGATGCTGGATCTAACCTACATTTTTTGGATGAGTGACCAGGTTAAAGTTTTTAGAGCAGGTCTCATTTCTAAGTAACTATAAGCCCTATATTGGCCAAACTTGCATGGATGAAACATCTAAGAATGCACACTACTGGACATGTTCGAATGCTGGATCTGACCTACATTTTCCGGATGAGTGACCAGATTAAAGTTTTTAGAGCAGGTCTCATTTCCAAGTAACTTTTAGCCCTATGTTGACCAAACTTGCAAGGATGATACAACTAAAGATGCACACTACCAGGCTTGCTTCGGATGCTGTATCTGACTGAGATTTTTCAGATGAGTGACCAGGTTAAAGTAAACTATAAGGGCTATTTGAACCAAACTTGTATGGATGATGCATCACAGGATGAACACTCTCAAACTTGCTTCAGATGCTGGATATGACTTACATTTTCTGGATGAGTGACTAGTTTAAAGTTTTTAGGTAAGTCCATTCCCAAGTAACTGCAAGCCCTATCAGACCAAAATTGCATAAATGTTACATCTAGGGATGTACACTACTAGATTATTAGTTTGGGACTTTGCCTTACTTAAAGACAACATTTGTTGAGGTGAGCTCTGTAATCTCTGATTACCATTGTTTTATAAAAAGTGTTGAATCTTAAATTCATATGAACATGTGCATAGAGGTTAAACTAAGTTATTATACATCACTAATTTTTTACTTTATAAGTTATAAGAGTAAATCGATTTACCCCACCTCTGTTGATTTTTCGATGAAATCCTGGCTTACGATTGGTTGAAGTCTGTCACGTGAAGGGGGTGTATTACTTATACCTAGTCACTTGAAAATCAATACATGGTCGATGTGGAGTTATCGTTCTATTGTAACGTTCGAACAACTAGAGTTCACGCGATTTGCCGAGTGTCTGTTGACAATGTTACAGTTAACTAATGTAAGTAACGAAGATGGAACCTTTTTCTCCCTTTACTGAAAGTCTTCAAAACTCAGTACGTTATTACAGCACGAAACACTCGCAAAACAACATTACGTCACACAACGTGACGTCATAATAGGCATTGTATGAGTGATGAAACATATATATAGTGAAAAAAAAATTTTACAAACCACAGACCACTAACATTTCATCGGTGGGGTAAATTCGTTACATAGTTTTTTAGTGACAGGGTACGGGATGATACCTGGTTAGTAAATTTCATACCTGGCTCGGCTTCGCCTCGCCAGGTATGAAATTTACTAACCAGGTATCATCCCGTACCCTGTCACTAAAAAACTATGTAACTAATAATACCCGGGTAGTTTGCTGATTCCCTGGAAACCACTGTAAAAAGACTGCTTCCCTGCAAAAAAGGTGCATCAGTTTTGTGAACTGATACACACCTATTTGGAACACCTAGCAATTTCTTTCAAGTGTATAAAAAGTTCCAATATATCCCATATAAAATGAATATTCATAATGCAACTCAGTTAAATTTAATATAAGGAGTTGGGGTCTAATTTATATAGGAAATGAGAAACTTGTTATTGTGACGTCAACATGCTAAATTAATGTGCAGTGAGTGCTAGGCAGATCAAGTTTCTTTGTCACAGTATAAACTGTTAATATAATAAACAGAATATTGCTTGCAGATATATCGATTTTTATAGACCATTAATTCAAATGCAAATACCTTCTATTGAATTTACTTATTTTATCCACATTCTGGGTAAATCTGTAGAAAATAGAATTACAGTACTAGTGTTAAGAGGACTGGGTGGTTGTGGCCATTTTCAGACTATATTGATCTCGTTTAGAAGAAGAGCTCCATATAAAGATATACAAAAAAGATCAAATTTTAAAAGTAAAATGTATGAAATTTTTGTTTGCCAAATGATAGTTGACAGCTTAAGATATCATATTTAAAAAATTAAGTTATATCTGATGGTTAATTTGTTGACCGCCCAGCCTCCTTAAAACTGGTCTTATTTTATTATCAGTATATATAAAACGTTAAAGTATACCATTGAGAGAGTCAGCAAAATTCCAGTTCCCCAAGAGCAAGTTTATTTCCCGAGGCAAACTGTATATACTGTCAAACAGTGACATAGACTGTATATATTTCATACCATGGGAAACAAGCTTGCTCTTGGGGATCTGGAATCTTGCTGACTCCCTCAGTGATATACTTTAACTGTTTACTGTCAAACAGTGACATACACTGTATATATTTCATACCAGACCAAACAATAGCAGAGGAAAATCAGGTAAAGTTCACTGAATTAAAGGTAGTTGAAACATTGTTTCCGACAATCTAAATGTAAAGCTTACATCATCTCGTTGTTTGTCAGTAACATGAAAATCTATTGGGAGAAATGTTCTGTCCTAAATTAGTTTATTCAGTATATCTCTAGGACTTTGTCAGTTTAATTTAGAATATATTTATTTATATATTCCCCATGAAATTTGCCAAGGTAAATTCTTCCATGTTCACACTTACACATTTCAGATAACTACACTATGCAGGAACAACAGTACCCTTGTGATAGCTGAGCATAATAACCAGAAATTGATTCCTTCCACCCTTCACACAATCACTGCTGCTAGCAGTCTAGGAGAAGTCACATGTATGGTGGCAGGAACACAATGTGCACAGGTAAGTTCATAATGTGATCAAAGCTTGAAGATTGATAGCTGCAGATCTGTAGCTTGAGATGGACAATGGTCATCCGGCCCATTTTTGAAACCAGCAAGCCACAGGTCTGCAACTAAGAGACTGAGCTCAAAGATTAAAGGCAGTTTCAGAAATATTCAGTTTCACAATATATAAATACTGCATGTAGTTGATTGTAACATTGAAAACACATATTCAATGAACCTTGCATGCAGGAATTCTGCGCAGTCAATATTTTTTGGTATAACACCCGTCGTCAAGCAATGTTGACTGTTGCTACGCTGGAGGGCGTGGCTTCATTTTTCAGCGGGTAAGTGTACTTCAATAAATGACTTGACGAATCAGATTCAACTAATTTACATGAAAGTATAATATTCATTAATATTAAATGTATTTTTATCATGTTTGTAGGAGAACTTATATTTTTGATTGTACAACAAATATGCTAACATAAACCAAGTCTCTGTGGCTATTATTGTCATGACTTGTTATTGTCATGACTCCAATTAAAATTGTAATTTACAGGTTGCTGCTGAAGTTGCCAAAGTAAAAGGAGTTAAAAAAGTAATATTGGCTGACAATGAATCATACAAAGGATTCCTTCCAGGTAATCTAGAGAAAAATCTAGTGTATAGATGAGTCAGTTTTCATTTTACACGTTCCTCTGAGATTGAAAACATTTTTTTTTATTGAAGGTAAAACAAAGAAAACAATTGTAGAAAAAAAATGAAAATGTAAACAAAACTGAAAAAAATAAAATGAAAAAAATCTGTGTTTATTTGGGTTCTGTAACAGTTTTATCATTAGTATGAGAGAATAGAGTTCATAGAATTTCATTTGTTCATTATGGGATCAAAGTAACAATCTTTTATTTATTTTTTCAGAGGCCCTGACTCCATTGTTACTTGCAGCCCAGGACCAGTTTAAATTTTCTCATATTTTGGCACCAGCTACAGCTTTTGGGAAGGTAAATAAGCTCAGTCAGAAAATATGGATGCACAGAATTAAAACTTTATTATCTGTGCTGATGTAAAGGTTACAAAAAGTTTCCTTTAAGTTCAGTTTGATAGAGAGAAAAAAATGGCCAGACTGTAACAATGAATACTGTAATTTTGAGGCATTTGGAGACAAGACAGACTAATAATATAGAAAATAAGAATGGGGATTTTTGGTTGCACAGAAATATGCTGGCTTCTAACATATGAACCAACACTTCACTATAATTTATTGTACTTTCTGTGTCCAAGTTTGTCATACAATTCCCATTATTTTCTAGAGTTTGTCTCCAAGACTTGCTGCCAAATTAGATGTTTCTCCCATTTCTGATATCATTGGAATCAAAGATAAAGAAACCTTTGTCAGGACAATATATGCAGGTGAGTTATTAAATTTGAATCAACTATATTCAGCATATGGTGAAAAATGATGATAAAACTACATATACATATATTATTCATATTTCATATAAAGTCACAGTTAAGTATGCCTAAAAAAGGATTTCCTTAGAAAAAAACACATTTCCATTATTCTTTGTTAAGGGACATTAATGTGCTAGATTTACATGTGATGATGTGTATAATTAAAGAAAGATATTGTTCATACAGTTATTGCTCTTTTGCAGTATGTGTAAAGTATAAGCTTGAGTGCGTTATTCTGAAATTGAAATGTGAACTTTTTGACAATTAACACAGGGAATGCCATTCAGACTCTGAAATCTAAGGACAGTGTAAAGGTGATAACAGTTCGGGGTACTGCGTTTGAGGCTGCGGGGACTGAGGGTGGAGGGGGAGCTGTGGAAGATGGTCAGTTAATTGTGTTTATTTTGGATGTATGTTTCATGATAACAATTCTGAAGAGGAAGTTATATTTTTAGAAAAAAAAAAATTTAAACTTCATCCACTATTAATCATTAATCTTACTGTGCAAATAATGTGCATAAAGCTCTGTCAAATCTTGTTTATTTTTTATGGACATATTAAACAAACTTGTATATACATGTATACCTTTCAGCCCATCATGTTTGATAGGAACCTTTAATGTTGAATTTTTACCATTAAAAAAAGGGGGTAACCAAGATTTGCTGTATTTAAATGATAATGATTAACATATATTGCAGCTCCTTCATGTGATGTAAAGAACGATCTCAGTCAGTTTGTTGGTCAGGAGTTGAGTAAAAGTGATCGACCAGAATTAACAAGTGCCAGCACAGTCATATCTGGAGGTATATAAACTAGACTGGTTTCATAGTGTTTGGACTTTAACAGCTCAAGTTAAAAGAAAAAAGTTTTTTTTTTTTTCTATATCTGAAAGCTGATCAGACTGATCATTTCCTGAATAAATGCAGTTTTCCAACAGATTTTTAATTTAAAAATAACTTATTTGGAGAGGTTTTTTAATAAGACAAACATGTATGATCATTCATTATTATGGATTAGATTGAAGAAAATTGCTAGGTTGTTTATGATCTTGTTGATTTACGTAATCAGGGCGTGGAATGAAGAATGGAGAAAACTTCAAGCTTCTTTATGATCTTGCTGATAAAATGGGAGCTGCTGTGGGTGCCTCGCGTGCAGCTGTGGATGCTGGGTTTGTTCCTAATGACATGCAGATTGGCCAGACTGGAAAAATTGTAGCACCTGTAAGTAGAATTTTTTTCATGCGAGTGCAGTTCACTGTTACCCATAGGCTTAATGTGTATGTTAAATCACACAGAAATTTCTTTAATTTTCATTGAGCAATCAGTAACCCTTCAATTAAAAGCATATCAAGTTATCTTTCACCTTTGGTGGCATTTCTGATTCATTTTCAAAATATCTCCATCTGTGTAAAGCCTTGAAATCTAAAGTAGAGATTTCGTTGATTGACACTAGTGTTCTAATGCTCAAATTTATTCTGCTGATCTTCATATTTATAATAGGGTCATTTTTTATAATTATGAAAAAGACTCATTTATACGTGTGAGATTCATCTATGTACCGGTATATTTTCTCCATTTTTTGTTAAATTCATGCTGCAAAGAAAGGAAATGAAAATATACAAAATATATTCTTTTGAAATATCAATAATTTAAATATTTCAATTGTGAGGAAAAATTCAAATGATAAATGCAAGAAAATGACTTGTTAAAGAAAGAGCAAAATGCATGTAAAATGATAAAAGGAAGAGCCAAAATCTTGTACTTGTAAAATGTTAGAGAAGATGAGACTGAAAGATCAAAATAATGGGAAACAGCAATCGTTGGAAACCCACGGTCGGTCTCGCTTCTCTTACATAAGAGGTAAGAAAAGCGAGACTGCCCGCGAGTTTCAGACGTTGGGGAAACAGAAACACATGTAGAGTATTCTCAGTTGATTATGACATAATATCACCTGTTTATGACAGGACCTGTACATTGCTGTCGGTATCTCGGGGGCCATTCAGCACCTGGCGGGGATGAAGGACAGTAAAGTGATTGTAGCCATCAACAAGGACCCAGAGGCCCCCATCTTCCAGGTGTCTGACTATGGCATTGTTCAGGATCTATTTAAGGTAAGCACGCTTTGGAGAAATGTTGAATTATTCAGAATGCACTGTTAGAAGCTATTGGACTTATATTTGTCTGTATTAAATATAAAAATCATTGTCTGTTATTCTGTATTTCAGGCTGTTCCAGAGATGACTGAACTTGTGAGCAAGAAGTGAAGAACAATATTTAACAGTGATAGATAACTCAAATTGTGATTAAAGTGTATTTGAACAATAAATAGTGAACATTTTTTAGGGGTCTTTTTTCACTTTCTGTGGCTAGTTTTTAGCTCTTCTGAAAGAACTAATGCTATGGCCTTTTGTGTGGTGTGCGTCAACTTTTTGGAATGTGGGCCATAACTCGAGAACCCCTTGACCAATTTTTGTCAAATTTGTCACAGAGTATCCTTGGCCCAAGGGCTCTCATTTGTACTAAAACAGGGATGGGACCCTTAAACAAGAGGAGATAATTAGGAAAATAAAAACAAAAGTACTGGTTGCTAAAAAAATTTTCTTCTTCTTGAGAACCACTGGACAGATAATCACCAAACTTATATACAAGGATGAGGATATGTTGTAGATTAAAAATTGTTCAATGCACCACCCTTGGGCAAAGGGTGTGGTCTCAAGGTCACTTCAAAGTTGACCAAAAATTACATTTTATTAAAATGTTGATATTTTGCTTACTTTAAATCCTAGGATCATCAAATCTTGTCAGTTGATGCATCTTCGGACCTCACATCATGTTGATTCAAAAGTTAGTAGGTTCAGAAACTTAGAATTCTAATTCAAATGTATAATCATTTAATTGGCAATATGTACAACTACACACTGTGTCCTTAATATCTGCAAAGTTCGACGAAATTCTGTGCAGTGCTTTATGAGGAGTTCATCTCTATATTCAAGATAGGGCCAAAAATCTAATTTGAAAAGTGCCGAAATTCCCAGAAAAATAAAGGAACCGGAATTTCGTTGAAATATGCACAACTACACACTATGTCCTAAATATCTGCAAAGTTTGACGAAATTCTGTGCGGGGGATTAAGAGGAGTTGCGCTGACAAACTGTTCATCTCTGTATTCAAGATAAGGCCAAAAATCTAAGTTGAAAAGTGCCGAAATTCCCAGAAAAATAAAGGAATCGGAATTTCCTGGCAATATGCACAACTACACACTGTGTCCTAAATATCTGCAAAGTCTGACGAAATTCTGTGCAGCGGTTTAAGAGGAGTTGCGCTGACAAAAAAAAAAAAGGACTGACTGACTGACGGACGGACGGGACAAAAACATTGTACCTCCCGCAAGTTGTTGCGTGGAGTATAATTAGGAACACAACAGCTCATGTTTGGTGGAAATTATACCAAATATAAAACCTGCTACGTATGGTATGATGGAAACAGCTCATGGCAGGATTGTAAATCAAGCAATGCATGGACATTGGAGCAAACTTGAGAAAGGGCTATACCTATCTATTCCATTGAAAAGATAAACACATAGAGTAAATGGGTGGTAATTTATTCGGTTGTGCTCTTAACCACTGTTAGCGGAGGGATTATTGTCTTCTTTCTGTCTAAATGAAATATTCAAATCATATTGGCTTAAGTCAGGAATTTTAATAGATCATATTTGTCTTTCCTTCTTATAATTGCACAACTTTGAATGGAAATGATAAAATGAGTTTGAAATTTAGCAGGGACTATATTTGACGAAATGGCGGCGTATGAAAATATGATCTCCTTTTCTTCTCAAAATAATGAATTTAGTTGATATTTTTAAACAATCAAAGGCCTAAAGAAATTTTCTGAAGTAACAGAAATTAATAATTATGTAGTTAAGTTTTAAAGTATATCAAATTACAATGATTTCCAAACAAACTACTCCATTACATCCTTGTTAGCTTTTGAAAGCTCCCAATCTAAGAACAGATTTAAGCAAAAAAAGTTGAAGGTGTTTCTCTCTTATTAAACGGTCAAAAATGTTTTTCTGTCTTTTTGATTTTGTATCTTTATGTAAGTACTTCACCATATGTGAAAATGAGAAAAATTTAGATAATATATATGAAACATTGTAAAAATAGCTAATATTCCCTTAAAATTTAGGAAAACAGAGGAAATTCGGATCAGCCAATATCAAGTTTAGTTAAGTTCTACATCTCTTCTTCTCATAGAACATATGTGGTTTAGTTTTATACAAAAAGAATTTAAAAAAAAAATTGAAACTGAAGCATAACATGATTGGCAAGAGTAATATTTGATTCTAAATGTCATGGAAAAAGATGACCCTCGTTTGTACTTCTGGTTATATTTGTTTCAAGGAAAAGGAAACAGTTCCTAGAGGAATCGGACTGAATGAGAAAGGTAATGCATTCATTAGATCTGATAGAGATTTTTTAGGTAGGAAAAGTGCTTGTCAATGTAGAAAATGGCATTTCAATAAAAATCACGAATCTAATATCGGATGTAAAGATTTTATCCAAGACCACAACAGTTGCCACTCTGAGCCCACCTGAGCAGATTTTGGGAGATACGCATGATAAAGATGCCACAGACTTGAATAAGAACAATCCTGTACTGGAGGATCTCTAGAAGAGATAGCCAGCAAAAATCTGGCTGCAAAGCAAAGATAAGATTAAAGTCATTGCTTAGAATCCATTCAACTCTTTCTGCTGCTAATAGTAAGGTGTTTGGTAAAAGAATTCATAAATCATAAAATAAATACAGGAGATACCGTACCTATTAAATGACAATTGTGTAGAATTCCTGTACACATGCGTGAGGAAGAAGACAAACATGATGGTGATATGTTAGAAAGAGATATAACTGAGCCATATCTACGAGTTCATCGGCAGCAGAAATAGTATTAGTGAAGAAGAAAAGATGGAAGTACATTATTCAGTGTACATTACAGAAAGTTGAATGCCGCTACTACTTTTCATAACCACGTATTGAGAAGTCTCTCAACTATTTATCTGGAGTCCATTGTTTTCAACATAAGAGATGTGCTCTGATTAATTGAGCAAGTAGAAATGGATCCAGCACATAAGACCGTCACGGTAGCTCAGTCGGTAGAGCGCTCGCTCCTTGATCGGAACGTCGTGTGTTCGAATCACCGCCGCGACTGATCCTGTTCGAATCACGGCCGCGACCGACCCAAGTCGATAAAAAATAGGTAGCAACGGTTCCTTCGCCAAGCGCTCGGCGCTTTGAAGTGAAAGTTGCGGGTCCTTCGGATGAGACCTTAAAAACCGACGCCCCGTGTCACGGTGGACGTTGGCACGATAAGCAACCCTCACTGCTCAATTGCCCTGAGTGCAGAGTAAAGGTCCAAATTTGAAACTCTTCACCGGTATATGGTGACTTCTCTATATGAGTGAAAAATTCTCGAATGGGACGTAAAACAACATACAATCAATCCAGCACATAAGCCGAGGACAGCTTCACAAACAAAAGATGAAAGTATCTTTCAGTTCAAAGCGATGCCATTCGGATTATACAAAGCTCAAGCGACGTTCGAAAGATTCATAGAGAGTGGACTACAAATGGACGTTTGTTTAGTGTATCTGGACGACATTAATGGCATAGCCAAACCATTTGAAGAAATGATAAAGAATTTAGAAGCTTTGTTTGAGCGATTGCGACGTGCTGGTCTCAAACTGAAAGCATCAAAGTGATTGCTTCTCTCGAATTGATAACCTAGGTAATGTAATACCGGTATAAAGAAGGCATCTCTACACACCCAAAGAAGGAATCAGTAATTGGCGTGAGCCAAGTAATGCAACAGAATGAAAAAAAGGTGAAGATAACAAACAGTGATCGATCTCATAAAATCTTCTAACAATACAAATCTATAAACATGGCATAAAGCACGGACCCCTGGAAATTTCAGAGGAGGGATCAGGTGCCTAGGAGGAGTAAGCATCCCCTGTTGACCGGTCACACCCGCCCTGAGTTCTATATATTGATCAAGTAGACGGAACAATCCGTAATCAAATTTGGTATAAAAACAAAGGTTTAACAATTGGTAGGAAACAAGTCAGCCAAAATACGATCCAGATAAATTATATTTGCTTATAATGTCATTACAACGACCATAGAACTTACGGAATGCTGACTTTAAACGAAGTTGTTGAAATCCCTGTAATATCAACTTATTATGAGTGGCCTGCCTCGGTTTACTCAGGGCATGCTCTTGAGTAGAAAGTAAGTAGGGAGACATTTAAACATCATAAGCAGGTGATAACGGAATAGTATCACATAAATAAGGAAAGTTGATGATGGAAAAGCTGAGGTCATCTTGTTTGTCATACAATTTAGTTGTTATTTGGCCTTTGTCATCTATATAGTCAGTAAAAAATCCAAATACGAAGCAGATGTGGCAGATTCATGTATAGTGTCTTTTATTTCAAGTTCACTGGGATAAATCGAGTCGACAAATAAATGGAAATAACTACTGTTAATTGATAAAATGTCGTCGCTCTATCTATATGTCGGCAAGCGTTTTCTTCTTCTCATGTGTAAATTTTTAAATAAATTTTGCTTCATACGAATATAATAACAGATCGGCTAATAATGGAGCACCATTAGTGCCCATCGGGAATTCCAACAGTTTGTTGGAAGACTTCGTCTCCGAAGACTACATAAATGTTGTCAATGAGTAACTCCAGCAATATATCTTTTTTTTGTAAGGATTTTTATGAAGTTTGGAAATCCAGTATAAGTAGGGTAGATCGAACTCACTTTGGTTGACTGGAATGTTAAAAGTATGAAACAATGAAATCTGATTTTAAAGAATTTCATCCTTGGAAAGTGAACTGCGAGTATATGTAGGATTTCCAGACGTAGAATAAAAACCAAGTTCTTCCAAAATACAATTAGAGTAATGAGCCTTACAAACAAAGAGCCTGTACTGGGCAACATCTATAATCACAAACACTACCTTGTATAATTGGTTTATTGTATGATCGATGCCCATGACTACGCTTAGGTGTATTGTGAAAAAGCCCCATCACATTTACGTTTGCACATTGTGGACTTGAAAGATTCCCTACATTACATACTAGTATGTGGTCGTTGCAACCATACGGAAAGGCCGTGCCTAGTTTTCTGATTCAGTATTCTTCTCGTTGTCTACAGAACGGAGTACTCATGCAAAGTTGGACTATTAGTTGGATGATATATTATTTTCCCAAAATTCTAACCCTTGTAGGAAGAATAGAGTGGTCTTAGATTATTTTTTTGTTCTCTAAAGCTATT